TCAAAGGGTAATCTTGGACAGAAGGACTCGTGTCTACCATACTTTTCTGCTCTACTATCTCTCTTTTCAATCTTCTCTGTTTTCTTCTTTCTTTTCTTCTTTTTCATGAACACCATTAATCGTGTTTCGTAACAGTATTGCATGGCACCCAGAATCTCCATTTTATGAGTACTCTAGTGAAGGGACAGATGTTTACACTTCTGTTCCCTCCTCGTGGTGGCTATATGCTGACATCCCTATGTTCCTATTTCATACTGATCAATGTACTTGCCTTGGTATGTTGAAACTGCTAGTTTAACATATTTTTGTAGAAACTGTAATATGTTATTCAGAATTTTTATGTGAATTTTTCTTTATATTATCTATGAAATTTATGATAATATATTATATAAAAAAGTATCTCTCCCTAAAAAGAATTTCAAGCTCTCCTTGACGGGTCAACACACACACTAACAAAATGGTTGCTGTGAGCCCATCATTTTATAGAAAGGTGGCTGAGTTTCCCATCCTTTTAAATGAGGTTATGCAATACTTTATAGGTTGTTCTTTATTTCTGTTGGAAAACCTTTAACTTTTCAAATACCAAGGGTTCATCAAGAATCTGAACCTCATCTCTACATGTGATCAGTTAATGGGGTCTCTATTACATTATTCTGAATAAATATGTTTTCAGCCTTTTACAGCTCTAGAAAGAACAGCTCTCAGCTAGGGTACATTTGGGTAGTCAGGAGTAGGTAATTTGACTTTAGGAGACCAGGCTGCATAGGCATTCCTCCCTAGGCCACTTTTCAATCAATCCTGATGTACTGACGGCCTATGTCATTTCTTGAGGCCCTAAAATTCCAGGACAGTACAAATATCTCCCAAATTACCCCTTTTTGGAAAGTAGATAGTCCAAGATATTTAGTAAGAGACATTTTTCGAAGTTGTAATTTTTTGTCACAATTTTTGTCACCGTGATCGCATGGTACCAGCAGAGGGTTGGTATACTGATCATTCATCTGCTGTGTCTGGTGAAGGCGTGTTCTGGGGAGGTTGTCATATGATGTCCTCCCAGGACAACAGGGCTCCTCCCCTCAGGTGTCATTTTACAATGGCTTGAGTGGGAAGCAGTTAAACCGTTACTAAACCCACAACAGTAAAACCAAACTGTAATCAATGCAGTAAAGCATGCTTGCTATACTCACTGTGGGATTTAAGGGGTTAATCATCTGCATTGTGTAAAAAGGGGGGTTTGATCCTGTCTTCTCTGATCCTCTCCTTCTTCTACTGTCCCCATTTCATCTCCTGATAGAACAGAGCCTTGGGGGAAAGCTGCACATGCTTGGTTTAGTGTGTTTTGCTAGATAGTTTTTTTATTTTTCTTGAGAGGGTGCATGTGATCAGCACAGGGCCAATCAGCGCTGTCCAGACAGAGGGTCAGGGGTCCTGCAGCCTCATAGGACAGTGAAAAGAGAATGAAAACTCCTCCTACAAGCTTTAGCCGGTGCTCTGCTGGACACTGATAGAAGTCACAAGACTCTTCTAACTGCTAAGGAGAAAAGGTATTTAGCAGTTTATATTTACAAAAATAATTTCCATGTTCTGTGTACTGTGGTAGACCAGATATAGTGAACGCAGGGTCCTGGGTTTAATAACACTTTAAAGATAAACGTCTACAACATGCACTGCACACTGTCTTCACTATATGTTCATGGTGTTAAATGTGTTTATTTTTACAGATACTATACAAGAAAGATGCTACACATCAAGGCTTTGTGTTTTCTTAATAACAGTCTCAAGCATGTCACTTTTTCTGTAAAAGTTTCTTCTTTTCTTAAACTCATATACGTTATCATCTGCCTCTGTACAAGCTTTTTTACTGCGCTTCAACAATGAAATCACAACTACATAATAAAAAGTAGCAATAACTAGAATCCTGCTATGTAGGTACATGTATTATACTGTATTTGCCTCAATTGTTTATATATCTTCCCTTTGATTGTATCACATATTTGCTTAAATTGTTATTAAAGTATGCATTGTGAAGTCATGTGTGTATGCTTTCTTTATCTGAATTTCTTATTAACCCCTGCATCCTAAAGCATATCAGAAAAAGATGGTTCAAAAATACAGCAGGGAAAAAAATTGCATCTTTTTTCCACGCTAAAAGCCTCTACAACTTTGTCAAAGTGTTGTAATACCTGCTCTGTTAATCTCAATTTTCAGGAGGTAGGTTGGAATAATTCAAAGTTTGTTGTGAAAATTAACAATACTTAACATGTTTACACATAAAACTCTTTAAGGGGTAGGAGAGGCCTAGTGTTTAGCGTATATCAAATTGTGTTTTCCTGCGTGTGTTTAAGTTTCCTAAAAAACTATAAGGCGTACATTTTTTAAGGCGTGATGTGGCATTTCCCCACATATAAAAACCTTTGGGGAGACAATGCTTATGACTAATGTCACTTCTTTGATGAGAAGATGTGCCATGATTAGTAAGAAGAAGGGAGGTGGATGCCCACAATTGCACAAGATCATAGGCTCAACTATTTCTCATTGAAAAAAAAACATCATCCTGGCTTCCTCATAACGTGTATAAAGATAAAGCCTTGCATTATGTATGCTCTTTCAAATACATATGGGGGGTCATGTTTTCTTGTTGTAAAACAAATATACATAATATATATATATATATATACACACACACATAAAAAGTCTACACACCCGTTAAAATATCAGGTTTCTGTGATGTAAAAAAATTTAAATTTCAGAACTTTTTCCACCTTTATTGTGACCTATAAACTGTACAACTCAATTAAAAAACAAGCTGAAATCTTTTAGTGGGGGAAGTAAACATAAAAATTAACATAAGGTGGTTGCAAAAGTGTGCACACCCTCTTATAACTGGGATGTAGCTGTGTTCAGAATTAAGCAATCACATTCAAAATCATGTTAAATAGGAGTCAGCACACACCTGACATCATTTAAAGTGCCTCTGAATAATCCCAAATAAAGTTCAGCTGTTCTAGTAGGTCTTTCCTGAGCATTCCACCACTCACTATGCTCTCTCCTACTCCCCGCATGTGTATATGCAGCACACCTCTCGCTGCCTCCCCCTCCCTACCTCAAGTGCAAGTATTGCTACACAGAGACAGGGGCGGACTGACCATTTGGAAACTCGGGCACTGCCCGAGGGCCCGGCGTCAGTAGGGGGCCCCATGAGATGCTCCTGGTAGCTTTTTCATAGGCTATTTTGAGTTTGGGCAAGGACACAGGGGCCCCATGATCCCCTATTGCCCGGGGACCCAATGAGTTGTCAGTCCGCCCCTGCACAGAGATTACAAGAATGAATACAGAATGGAGTTAAATGGTGTTTTTTTATATCTCCCGAAGTTAAAGAGTAATATTGAGATAGATAGATAGATAGATAGATAGATAGATAGATAGATAGATAGATATGGAGATAGATAGATAGATAGATAGATAGATAGATAGATAGATAGATAGATAGATAGATAGATAGATAGATAGATATGGAGATAGATAGATAGATAGATAGATAGATAGATAGATAGATAGATAGATAGATAGATAGATAGATAGATAGATAGATAGATAGATAGATAGATAGATAGATAGATAGATAGATAGATAGATAGATAGATAGATATGGAGATAGATAGATAGATAGATAGATAGATAGATAGATAGATAGATAGATAGATAGATAGATAGATAGATAGATATGGAGATAGATAGATAGATAGATAGATAGATAGATAGATAGATAGATAGATAGATAGATAGATAGATAGATAGATAGATAGATAGATATGGAGATAGATAGATAGATAGATAGATAGATAGATAGATAGATAGATAGATAGATAGATAGATAGATAGATATGGAGATATATATGGAGAGAGAGAGAGAGAGAGAGAGAGATCACTTAAACTGTATAGAAAGGGAAATACAGGAAACATAGATACACATATACTGTATGGAAACAGGAAACATACATATCACAAACATTGTATGGAAAGAGAAAATACAGGAAACATCATGCAACTGTACAGAGATGCTTCAAGATAGTGGTTTCTAGAGGCTAAAAGACCTTAGTGTGAGGTTTTCCGCTGCTGAGTTGAGGTTTACCACATTTACAGATATTTGAGTATTTGAATGTTACAACATTGTTAAAAAGTTGATAAAATGTTAAAGTGTTAGTAAACCCAGGACCCTGCATTCACTCTATCGGGTCTCCCACAGTATACACAACATGGAAATGCAATTAATTTAGTAAATATAAACTGCTAAATACCTTTCCTCATCAGCAGTTAGAACAGTCTTGTGATTTCCAGCAGTGTTCAGTAGAGTACATGTTAAAGCTTGTAGGAGGAGTTTTCATTCTGCTCTAGGAGGATGCAGAACCCCTGAACTCTGTCTGGACAGTGCTAATTGGCCTTGTGCTGATCACATGCACTCTCCCAAGAAAAAAAACCTCTTTAGCAATGCACACCAAACTGAGCATGTGCAGAGTGACTCCACACCATATGCCTTATCAGGAGATAAGAGGGGGGCACTGGAAGAAGGAGAGGATCAGAGAAGACAGGATCAAACAGCATTTTTATATAATGCAGAGGATTAACCCATTAGTTTCCACAGTGAGTATAACAAGCATGCTTTACTGCATATACAGACTGATTTTACTGTTGTGGGTTTAGTAATACTTTAACCTCTTGCCGTCCGCCTGCTGTTTATTAACGGCAGGGCGGTGGCAGTCCAGGGTCGGGTTGCCGTCCATAAACGGCACCCACCTTTTCTAGCTGTGCGCGCTCCCTGGGAGCGCGCACCACCGTGATCCGGTGCCCGCTGTGTCCTCCGGACACAGTGAAACACCGATCGTCGGACGGGACCTCTGTACGAGGTCCCGATCATGTGATCACTGATTGGCGAATCAGTGATCACATGCAAAGTAGTAAGCAAGATGTCACTTGAGACATCATTGCTTACTATGTGTGAAATCTGTGAATGATCACAGAGGTCACATGGTACAAGGCTATTCACAACAGCCTTGTACCATGTGACAAGCTGTGACCACTCACAGCTCACTCAGTAATTCTCAATGACTGCAGGAATGCAGACAGAGAGAAAGAGAAATGATTGCTTTTACATCCTATATGGGTGTAAAAGCAATCAGTGTAAAAAAAAAAAAAAAAAAAATCTTCATCACCCTCCACAAGTAGTACAGTGTCACCATGGTGACAGTGTACTGCTAGGGTGACAGTATGTAAAAAAAAATATAAAAATAAAAAATAATAATATAAAAAAATAAAATAAAATGTAAAAAAAAATGTTTAAAAATTATAATTTTTGGTTATAAACTAATTTGGATTTTTTTTTTTTACTAAAAAAATAACGGAATAAATTTTGGCTAAGAGTTATGATGAAATATTATTTATTTGCAAAATTTTATTTAAAAAAACACTTTTTTTCAAAATTTTTGAACTTTTTCATTTACATAGTAAAAAAAATAAAAATCCCAGCGGTGAATAAATACCACCAAAATAAAGCTTTATCTGTCTCAAAAAAATGGTAATAAATTCATATGGGTACAGTATTGCATGACCGCGCAATTGTCATTCAAAGTGTGATAGCGCTGAAAGCTAAAAATTGCCCTGGACAGGAAGGGGGTAAAAGTGTCCGGACAGGACGTGGTTAAGAACTCTTATGTTGCCACAAAAGTATTACAATCTGATACAATGAACATCAAGAAACATTAATGCATTGTAAGATGTAAATTTCCAAATATTCTATGGCTCTGAAGATGTGCTAGAGACCCTCTGGGAATTTCCATGGCTATCCCAATATGTTAAATTGTATCTATGGGCAAAAAAAAATACATATATGATACGGCCTGTCAGTAGCATTAAACGGTATACCCCAAACCAAAAATGTAATATACTGCAGCATACAAAGCATAGGATGTGGTGGCTGCATTAGTTTTACTTTCTTTGCCTTTTTTCCCTTTGTTTTCACTTGGTGATCTGACCAGTAACACCCCTCCTGTATTACCGAGGCACCACTCTGGATTAATGAACACAGGAGGCACAGCAGACAACAGCATTGTCAGTCTGGGGGGGAGGGGATACATAAAGTCAAATTCCTGCTCACACTTTAGGATCCATGCACACTGGATTTACAAAAATGCCAGTTAACATGGTAGAAAAAAAATGCTGATATGAAGCATTTTTGTACACAATTTAGGCAAGATTAAGAGAGTTTAGTTTTTTTCTGCCAGAAAGCTCCAATCAAAAACGCAAACAAGAAGGGTTTTTTTCTCCTGCCTTTGAACGTTGAGGTTAAAATATGCCTCTAGTTGCCCTAATGTACATGGACACATAGGATAACAGGAAAAACACAAAACTCCTGTGGAAGCAGCGATTTTTAAGCCAGTGTTCATGGAACCTTATGATCAACAAACATGTTTTTTTTCATTTTGGGTTTTACATGAATAAATAAAAGTTGATAATTTTAACCACCCCTGCCAATGTTAAATGGTTTGTCTTGTCCATGTAAACTGATACATTCCGCTGGAGAGCTTGAGCTTTTGAAAAACAACAGACTTACTGGCTGGGTCACCAGATGAAAATAGAGAAGATAGAAAGCTTTAAAAAGAAAATGAATGCAGCCATCACTAAGAGTTGGTAAGTTGCAATATAATAAATGTTTGCTTTTGTGTTTAATACTGCTTTTAGACAGTAGTTTTCTAAGTCCCTCTGCAACATAGTTTCATTACCTGTTGATCCTATCAGTAGATTGGTTGATTTAACAGGGTGACAACGCTACTTGCATGTCATAATCACCCTATGGACAGGGTAGTCTTAGATGGAGATGTAGTTTTGGATGGACTTTCAGTTAGCAATAAAGAAACTGCAGCCTAACACCAACTAATACTTTTTAAACAGTTACAGCAACAGGTTTTTACTTCTTCTTTTGAAAAAAAAAAAGGTTATTTGGTTTGTCCTAATGATTAGTATTGAGCTGAACTGCTCCGGGTTCAGTTTGAGCAGGGATCAGTGAACTTCAAAGAAGTTTGGATGGCAAGCCCAAACCGCATTGAAATCAATGGGAGCCAAATCTGTCAAATTAAAATTGCTCATTTTATGGGCAATTAGGCAAGGGGGTGTCAAGAATAGCATGGGGAATGGGCACCGCTCTTAGAAACATGTACCAATGGCAAAATAAAATTTGTTAACCACTTCCAGTCCAGACACTTTTACCCCCTTCCTGTCCAGGCCAATTTTCAGCTTTCAGTGCTATCACACTTTGAATGACAATTGCGCAGTCATGCAACACTGTACCCATATGAATTTTTAGCATTTTTTTTTAATTTGAAAAAAAGTGTTTTTCTTATAAAATTTTGCAAATAAATAGTATTTCATCATAAATCTTGGCCAACATTTATTCCCTTATATTTTTAGTAAAAAAAAAAATAACCCAAATAAGTTTATAACCAAAAATTTAACATTTTTTTTTTTTTTTTTTATTTATTTATTTTTTATTTTTTTTTAACATACTGTCACCCTAGCAGTAACAGTGTCACCATGATGACACTGTAGTACTTGTGGGGGGTGATGAAGGTTTTTTTTTTTTTTTACACTGATTGCTTTTACACCCATAAGGGATGTAAAAGCAATCATTTCTCCTTCTCTCTAGCAGCTTTTTTGCAGCCTTTGAGAACTACTGAGTAAGCTGTGATTGGTCACAGCTTGTCACATGGTAGAAGGCTGTTGTGGCTGCCTTGTACCATGTGACCTCTGTGATCATTCACAGATTTCACATGTAGTAATCAATGATGTCACAAGTGACATCTTGCTTACTACTCTGCATGTGATCACTGATTTGCCAATCAGTGATCACATGATCGGGACCTCGTGCAGAGGTCCCGTTCAACGATTGGTATTCCACTGTGTCCGGAGGACACAGCAGGCACCGAATCGCAGTGCTGCGCAATCCCGGGAAGCGCGTACAAGCAGGGTGCGGGGAGGCCGTTTATAAATGGCCACCCGACCCTGCACTGCCACCGTCCGGCTGTTGCATACAAACCGCCGGTGGCAGTGCAGGGTCGGGAGGTGGTTAAAACATTTTGGGCAGGAACAGTGTATTTCTTGCTAAATTCTTAAAGTGAAACATTAAAAATGTCCGATTCCTTTAAATAACATGCCTAGGGAGTTTCCTAATCCTGCCTGTAAATGGGTGCATCTCTGTGAAAGTGTAGCAACAGCACTGACATTTACAGAGGTAACAAATTTTAAAATGACCAACACATTACTTTGACAGCTGTCATCCAAAGCTTCTTTGTTAAAAAACAAACAAAAAAAAAACAGAACACAGAGTCCCCAAGGGTCCAACCAGAGGAAACAATCTCTCTGTTTCTCATCAGTGACAGTGTGAAGTATTATCACTTATCACAGTATAAATATCAATGGTGATGTCAGTGTCAGTTAGTCAGTTCCCCTCAGCATTGGTGTATTTAGGGTTTGTGCTGCCCTAGGCAACACAAAAGTCATCCGCCCCCACAGACACCGGCCAACCCAACCCCCCCCCCCCCCCTCCCCTGTCATGGAGAAAGCCTGACATTGACCAACAACACCCCTGCCCCCCACCTGGGAGAGCCTTCCTCTACTACCCCTCCCCCCCAGTGATACAGAGAAAGATACTCATCTTCATCTCCAGACATCCCTGGGAATGAGAGTCAGGCTCTACATACACCATTAAGCAACCCGCAGCCTCTCTCAGATCCCACTTGGTTCCCATGGAACACACGTGTCCCTTCTTTCATCCCCCCCCCTGCCCCCCCTGAAAAATGCTGCCCTAGGCAAGTGCCTTGTTTGCCTTGTGGTACATCTCCCCTGCCCCTCAGCATCAGTTGGTATCAAATTGCCTACAGCACTATCACAGGCCTATTATAAGTCACTGATCACCGCCATTAATAGTATAAACAAATAAATAAATATTACAAAACATATACTGTTTATATATATATATATATATATACACACCACACACATCATAGTTTGTAGACAGTATAATTTTTATGCAAATCTACCAATATACGCTATTGTGATTTTTTTTTTTACCAAAGACATGTAACAAAAAGCATTTTTTGTACACTTTTTTTTTTAATTATTATTGGGTATATTTTATAGCAGAAAGCAAAAACTATTTGTTTAATATATATTTTTGGTTTTTTTTTATTATATCACAAAAAAAAAAAAAAAACCTAATGGGGATCAAATACCACCAAAAAGAACATTCTATGTGTGTGAAAAAAATGATATAAATTTAATGTGGGTACAGTGTGGCATGACCACACAATTAACAGCTAAAATAGTGCTGTGCTAAATAGGAAAAAATGACCTGATCATGAAGGGAGGTAAAGTCTTCCGCAGCTTAAGTGATCAAAGAAAAATAATAATACTTCTACATAACAGATACTAAACATCTGTTCAGTGCAGCTTAACATAATGATTGAGTTAAGTTATCAGTGAAAAAATAAAACTTTTTTCTTACATGACGAATTTTAAAAATGTTATTCTCCTTTTACTTAAATTTTTTAGGAAATGCTATCATTTAGCGCCACCTAGCGAAAAAAGACAACAGGTTAAAGAGATAAAAAATTTAATGAAACTTGGGGTGAGAGATGTAGCATGCCATGACTATTCCTTCCCAGGGGCGGATGACCATTGGAGCACTCAGGCACTGTCCAAGGGCCCGGGGTCAGTAGGGGGCCCCATGAGATGCCCCTGATACCTTTCATTGGCTTTTTCATAGGCTTTTTTGGGTGTGGGAGATGACACAGGAGCCCATGATCCCCTATTGCCTGGGGGCCCCATGAGTTGTCAGTCCGCCCCTGCTCCCTCCCTTCTAAAATTTCTAACTGACTGGCTGCAATGCAGATTCACTGGCTGCAATCAGGGCCTTCTTTAACACAGGGCAAAAGGGGCATCTGCCCTGGGCCCAGTCTTTTTTGTGGGGGCCAAAGCAGCTGCCGCTTGAGCCCACGCAGATAAGTGCAAGTACATTTGGCCATCAGTTCTGACCCTTGCCAGTACCTTTGTATCCGGCAAGGGGTTAAGTTTCCCTGTAGTGTCTCCTCTACTGGCTGTGCACTCCCCCCTGTTAGCTCAGTGTGACCGCACTGCCCCGAGCCTCTTCCCCGGAGATGTGATGTGCCCCCTTCCCCTCCCCCTCCCCCAGTCTTCTGTGTGCGGCTGCCGGGAGACTCCGCTCTGCCAGGTAAGTGGTCTGTGTGTGTCCCTCCATGACTATGTGTCCTTCACTGAGCCCTGCTCCCCCTCCCCCCCTCCACCTATAACAACTTTGCTGCAGAACTTCTCAGAGGGGGAGGGGGTGGGGCTGCTGGGTGTAGTAGTGCGGGACAGTAATTGGCAGATGTGGGGTTCCATGTTCCCAAACCCCCTCCCTACCCCCCCACTTCCCTTCCTCAATGCACCCTCAAACCCCCTCTTCATAACCCCTCCCTGCCTCTCCACCCTCAACAATAACTCACCTCTCTGCCTCTCCACCCTCAATGATAACCCCCCTTCCCCCGCTTCTCCACCCTCAACTATAAACTATAAACCCCCCTCTCCCCACCTCTCCAACAATAACCCCTCCCCGCCTCACCTTCAACAATAACCCCCCTTCCCACCTCTCTGTCCTCAATGATAAGCCCCCTCCCCTGCCGCTCCACCCTCAACAATAACCCCCCTCCCCGCCTCTCCACCCTCAACAATAACCTCCCTGCCACTCCACCCTCAACAACAACCCCCCCCCTGCCTTTCCACCCTCAACAATAACTCAACTCTCCACCCTCAACAATAAACCCCCCTCCCTGCCAATATCTACCCTCAATGATAATCCACCTACCTGCCTCTTCACCCTCAACGATAACCCTCCTCCCCACCCCCTTAACAATAACCCCCCCCACCTTCCTGGCTCTCCACCCTCAAGGATAACGCCCCTCCTCACCTCTCCACCCTCAATGACAACCCCATTCCAAGCCTCTCCACCCTCAACAATAACCCCATTCCCTGCCTCTTCACCCTCAGTGACAACCTATTCCCTGCCTCTGCACCCTCAATGACAACCCTATTCCCTGCCTCTCCACCTGCTGGGTCCTGTGTAATGATGGGGGTAGTATGGAGCACGGGGTCTTGTGTAATTGTGGGGGGTAGCATGGAGGGGGAAGTCCTGGGTAATGATGTGGGATGGGGATCCTGTGTAATAATGGGGGGTAGTATAGGGGGAGGGGTTCTGTGTAACAATGGGGAAATATGGGGGAGGCATGTGAGATGGGGAAACAGCTCTCATTGTTTGAACACTGTTTGTGTGCAGTAAATGATTGTGTGGAGTAAATTAATGTTTTGACTGACATTCTGCGGGTTAGCCACAAGAAGTCACTGTTTTTCTAACACAGGCTCAGACTGCATAGATATTTGTATATTCATGAAGAGGTGGAGTTTTCACACAGAGTTGGGGTTTAGTGAACAGGAAGAGGAGACTGCAGCCATGTTTTGGACGATGCTGAATGCAGGGGTCGTGTGAGCTGAGAATCCGATGACATCCAGGTGTGAAAGCGTCCCTCACTAACCAGAGATTGCTGCCAGGAAGGCTGATGAGAGCAGAGGAACTAAGCAACATTGTTCTGTTCAGAGTCACCAGCGGATGCAAAGCAGCAGACCCGGGTTGGTAATATTGTGCACGCACCTCATTTCAGTGTTGGTGCCCAGAGACTGAGTCCAGGCCTATAGTTAGTTAGTTAGGGTCTCTGTTTGTGTCAGGCCATAAGTGTTGTTACTGATCACTGGAAGGACTCCACCACTTAAAGTGACATTTCACATTGGAGAGCTAATAAAATCCTACAAACTCAAGCCAGACTGCCGTTTTGCTCAGAAGGAATACTCAGGCACGGTGCTACAGGACCAGTTATGGGAGAGGGAATACTGTAGATTTGTGTAAGATTGTAAGCTGTTGTGCTGCACCACAGGCTAGCCCATACCATACACCCATACACTGATTCCTGCTCTTTTAGGGTAATAACAGGTAAGGTGTGGCAGCTTAGTTGTGCCCGCCAGTAGGTAAATTACTACACCTTCTACCTTCATCCATCAGAAGGCGCCGTGCTGTGCAGCACAAGGGTCTCAGCCTTTGGGCTGGGTGTATGTAAATTTATTGTATGTTCCCAGCATTTGTGGTTGTGTTTACTTTGCCACATCTAAGTAAAATTCTGTGTGGCAAAAGCTGGTGTTGGGGTTGCTTTCCTCGTTCGTGACTTCACTGTATCCTGGGGAGCCCACCCTGGTACACGGCTTACAACGGATCCTGTGTAATGGTGGGGGAGAGGGGGGACCTGTGTAATAATGAGGGCCATATGGAGAGGTAGATCCTGTGTAATGATGGAGGTGCAAAGTGCATGGAGAGGGCCAAGGAAATGTTTGCCAATCAATATTAAAGACGGCCCTGGCTTCAATACATTGTATCACTGAGCTGTTGCATGTATGCATATAGGAGCACCTGATTTTACTGTGACTTCATATTTCCTGTTTAGTGATTCAGAAGTGTTAAAACATCCAGGCATCTAAAACATCCAGGCAACTAAAATTTCTCAAAGTAGTCATGCTGTAGCAGTCAATATATTTCTTTAAGCACAGCTATTCTTTAAAGCCTAACTCCAGCCAAAATAGTTATCAATAATATAATTATTACTTTTTTATAGTTTCAGATACAGCAGGAAAAGGTTTAAAATCGTTGTCAAGTTTTTAATAATGTTTTTTTTACCCATGCCTCTGTGACACCCGTCCATGAAATGGAAGAATTAGTTGTCACAGGTATGGGAAGGTACAGGCGACATAGGATATTTAGGAGATGTTCCATGCCCTGGTAGAGGCACTATCATTTCCATGCTTTATCCAGACTAAACAAAACTT